AATTCTTAAATTAATAATTATAATAGTGTTATTATTGCTAAAAATAATAAATAAAATAATTATAATTAATAATAATATTAATATTAATAATATTATAGTATACTACTCTTATTTTATTACTATTTATTTACTACTATTGTCCTCATGCTTTGGATATACTCTTATTTTATTACTATTTATTTACTACTATTGTCCTCATTTGTAAGTCGCTTTGGATAAAAGCGTCTGCTAAATGACTAAATAAAATAAATAAATAAATACTACTTTAATACATTCAAAGGTAAGTACTTTTGTACTTTAACTGAAAAGAAATTTGAGTCATTATGATTAAATAAGTACTTATATTTTCACATAAGAAGTGATATTTCATCAAGTAGCTATATTTTAACTAAGTACAGGATATATGTACTTCATCCTTCATCCAACTTTTAAAAACATGTCTGACTTTCATACAATGCCTGATATTTTAGCAGTAATGTGATGTGATTATAACATAACACCAAGAGGAATCTCCCTCTGTCACTGTCATTGTCTTTCCACATCACACACATGCACACAGGACAAAGTCAAAAGTCTTACATTCCTTTGAGCCTCAGACAAATGTGGCTAGTTTCATTTCACAAAACACTCACACACACACACACACACACACACTGTACTGCCTCCCTGAATCATCCCTGTCTTTTTACGCTCTTATGACACTTTAGAAAAGCTCTCTAACCTCTGGGCCCCTGAGACAACCAGGCATTTTGAAAGAGGACACCAGAGAGGACAGAACAGAGAGTGTCCTGCCATTCTTCAAGTGTGTGTGTGTGTGTGTGTGTGTCTGTGTGTGTGAAGGTGGGGGAGGATTTATGGGTGTGACATTGGTAACTGAGGTAGCGGGAGGGATCCATAGCAAGGGAGGGAGAGAAATGGGTAGATTATGTGCTTTAGTAAGGGAATGAGCGGAATGCCAGTTTGTGTCGCTTCCCCGCATTCTGCAGGCCTGACATTGTGAGAGTGACCAGGCCGCTCTGCCCCTCAACAGCTGTGTGTGTGTTTGTGTTGGTGGGGAGGGGTGCATACATGTGGACTCATGGGTGTACATATGATCTGCATTTAATTACATAAATCTTATAGATGACATTGGTGAAAGTGAACTATTATAATATGCAATGCTTTGTGTATGCAAACTATTATGTTGGTATTCAAAGCCATGTGCATCTCTCTCTCTCAGCTGTGACCTTGCACATTTATGCAACTTGGCAGATTTTTAATTTCTAGCATTCAATTAGACTATTCGACCATAACCTGCATTTGTACCTTTCTGCAGAAAACCTCCTGTTTCTGTCCATATGTCTAGGACAAATGCAAATTGTTTGTTGTAAGTTGGATGACGTACATTGTGTCACATAAGGTTGTGCAGCAAGCCATTATAAGTATCTGTTGCAATGACGTAATGATAAGTATTCGGACAGAAGGAAATATTAAAGGGATAGTTCACCCAAAAATGAAAATTACCCCATGATTTACTCACCCTCAAGCCATCCTAGGTGTATATGATTTTCTTCTTTCTGACGAATACAATCAGAGTTATATCAAAAAATGTCCTGGCTCTTCCAAGCTTCATAATGGCAGTGAATGGGTGTTAAGATTTTGAAGTCCAATCAAGTGCATCCATCTATCATAAAAAGTGCTCCATAAAACTCCGGGGGTTACTATAGGCCTTCTGAAGTGAATCAAAGAGTTTGTGTAAGAAATATATCCATATTTAAACATAAACTTTATAAACGGTAATCTATAGATTCCGCTATCTGTCGAATGCCTTCACGAGAGAGTGGTGTTCCAATGGATGACATATGATGCAGGCGTAGCGTAAGCTCCAGTGAAAAGTGACGAACGTGGAAACGCAGAGGAGAGAGCAAAACAGTAGTACAAAACGAGGATTTGTAAAGAAAAATGTCGGAGGATTTTGATTTAAGCCAAGAGGAGACTTGGTTTTTTTTTTTGCTGTATACAAAACTTGGTTCTCGTGAGAATAGCATATTCTCACCGGAGCTTATAGGCTACGCCTACGTCCTACATCATCCGCTGGAACGCCACTCTCTTGTGAACGCCTTTAAATCAGAAGTTTGCCAAAACTAAATTGAAAGCCTGTTTAATTACATTCATAGTGTCCATCATAGTAAACAAGCTTGTATAATTCATACATTTGTTTGTTTTTATGTAGTTATACAAAAAAAATTAATTTTATTAAAATATTTTATTACATTTTTTAATTAAAATCATTTCACATTTTGTGAAACACTTTTATTGTTAGCTGATTCTACATGCATTACATATCCTCAGTTTTTAATTTCATTAAAATGTATTAAAATGTTATGCATTACTGGCTTCTCAAGAGGTAAAACTATAACTTATCAGGCACTTTCAACTGTGTCTCTCTTCCCTGTCTTTCTCTCTTTCACTCTAACTAGCTTCACTTTTTTTTACCTCCTTTTCCTTTCGGCCACACTTCTTTTTTCCCTCTCCATCCTTCACAGTGAATTCCACACAGGATCAGGCCTGTTTTCATGCTTAGCTGAGAAAAAAAAAAACAGACAGAGAGGGAAAGACAAGATTGGAAATTTAGCTGTGGAAGAGATCTGTTGAAAAAGAGTCATTCACCAAGCGTAACAGAGGGCCTTATCTTCAGGAAGAGAATGAATGAAAGAGAGAGTGAGACAAAGCCAGTGCAAGTAGTGGAAACAAATGAAACAATGTGCAAAGGTCATTGCAACATTACAGGGGGATCACAGGTTGCCAGAGCAACACACAAAGCTAGGCTAGCCAGAGAGACGTAAGAAAGGGAGGGAGTGAAAAACAGAGAGTGGGAAGTGGGAAGAAAGGAGAAGAAGTAGAATAAGTAATCAGGTTATATCACAAGTTAAGCCTGTGGAGGAGGCATTCAATTTTCTAACAAAGTCGAAATGTTATGGTTCCAGCCTTTTCTTGTGGCAACATGGAAAGCTGAGCTCTGCTCAGGGACGTGCCCTCAGCTTTATTGCTCTGTGCTGAAATGCCCTTCACAGTATTGATTTTCATTATAAAACCTGAAGATTAGTTGAATCACTCGGAACATAAAATTTAACATTGAAATGTCTCCCAACTTTTTTAACCACAGAAGTGCAGACACTGAATCAGTCAGTAATTTAATTTTAAGTCATGATGAAATGGAAGTTGCGGCAGGTAATTTCTTCATATTGTGATGTATATCCGAGTGGAATGGATTATAAAAAATAAAAAAGGGCGGGGACTTGGTTCTGTCCATCGATATTGATTTAGAGGCGGGGTTTAAGCGAACTAAATGATTGGAGAAGTCTGTCATTTCAATGTTTGAATTATGACATTTTGAATAAAAATTACAAGGTCAAACAAAAAAATAAAAAACTGAAACATATGCATGCATGAATTGTTCACAATAAGACCACTGAGATGCATTTAGAAAATAGGAGTGAATTTCCATTTCATGCCAACTTAAAAGTTGCGATGAAACCAAAGTAGCGTCAGATCTTTTTTTTTTTTTTTTGCATTGTGACGTACATCCAGTTTAAGTGGACTAAATGATTGGAGAAGTTCTCCATACGTCACCACCAGAGAGAAGTCTGTCATTTTCACTGAAGGGTCCAGTATGACATTTTGATTAGACATTAGGTGAAAACATTTTTTTTTAAATGAACATGCACAGATTAATTGTTCACATTAAGTTCTATAACATGCACTCAGAAACTAGATAGGGTGAATTTTCTTTACATGCTGACTTTGAAAGCAAAGTGTGAGGAAAATAAAAAAGAAGCAGAGGATTTGGGTCAGAACCTTTAACCATTAAAACTGTGAGTTAAAGTTAATCATACTCAAAGTCAAACCAGGCCATGCACAAATGTTCATTCAGCGCAAATAGGACAAAAGAACAAGCTGCTTTCAAAACAAAATTTGAACTGCATGGAACGCGTTCAATCCTTCTAATTTTTTTTATCTTTAAACACATTCTCTCCTTCAACACACCTTTGTTACATTTTCAGACCTGATGTTAAACAATATCTCTCTCTATTTTTCTCAAATAGGCTTCACTTCTCTGTGCAAATTCTTTCCATGCCATAAAAAGCAATACCTCCACACATGCTCATGCTCATACACGATGCCTGCGGTCAACAGGCTTTGAGAAACAATATTGACTCGCTAGGTAGACTGCTGTTTCTCTCAGTCCACTATTTACCTCAGTGTTACTGAATGACTGCCAACAACTTTCCAATTCCCATCTCCTTCCAGTGAATGGGCAAGTAGCAACACATAGCTGTGGAATAGCATTTTCACTCACCCACCCTTCTCTACCTGTCTTATTTACTTTTAATATCGCTTTCACTGACTTTAAAGCACCACACCCGTTCATTCTCCTGTATTTGTACATCTGCAGAATTTAGCCAGTGTTTGAACTTTTCAATCTAACAATGTTTCTCCTTCTTATTGCCTCTGAGCTCAGGTTTTAGTCTGTTAACACACCATCTTTACTGTCTTGCCTCAGGACATAATGGTATATTGCTGGAGTTTTACTCTGTAATAATGCCATCTTTTACCACTACAAAGGGCTGTTTCTAAACGCTAACATAAAACTCTTGTGGGGAAAAGCCAACAATGTTTAGTTATTAGAAAATTTAGCCAATAGCCTACAAGATTTACGGCAGACACCGGAAAGGTTTAACAAGGTAAATCCTGTTGTTTCCTTACCAGCAATATTAAATTTCATATTCAACAAAACTCTCCGTTGCTGTAACACTTAAAAAAAAGTTTCTCAGAGGTAAGCCTTGAGTATCATTTACAGCGGCGCTGCCAGGTCACGGGTTCCTTGCTTTACTCGCTCCGGATTGGTCAATTGCCTCATGAAATATTCAAAGCAGCACCTGATTGAGAGCTGCCATTGGACGCAGCTAGTGCAGTTATGTAAATGAGCACCTGGTCGAGTTTGCAAGCCCTGAGGGGAAGAGAAAGAGGTCCAAAGCTAAGCGCTTATGAGCGCGCCGAGACTGAGAGAAGCACTGATTGAGAAATAAAAAAGGACGTCCGTGTCATTTGCGCTCATACAGAAGTCGGATCTTATAGAACATTCCTAGTTACAAACCTTTTCGAGCGTGGGACGTACTTGCCTGCTTTCAGAAACTTCCTGCTCTTGCTTTCTTGACTCGGTTTATTTATTGGTGCTTTTGTGGCTTTAAGCACAAAGTCACAAGACTGTGCCAGACTATATTTACCTAGTATAAAAACAACCTGCCAAAGTGAACATCTCGGATTAAAAAGAAGATCAGGCGACACATTTTGAGACGTTTTCGCGTTCTGACAGACTTCTAGGTAAGTGGTCAGAAAATAACTGATAATTGCATATAAGTGTATTTTATGTTTAGTAAGCTGTCAGGCGTTACTTTGTACTATGTCGTTTTTAGTAAATGCACTGTAGATACTCGTATTGCGATTGTCAGTGTTTTTCGACCGCCGCGTGGAAACACATTTGGCTTTCCATTAAACTCTAGTTGTTTTAGACTCTGCTCAAATATGTTAAGTCGTCGCGCGAGTAAACTTAACCGTCCCTGTCTCGTGCATGGCTGCCAAGAGTCTCGGTGTGTGTGTATGTGAGGAGTTTGGACGTCTGCCACGGTAACTTTACCGGGAATGCGCTCGGTCTGGTGCGGAGTCGTGTTGTTTGTTTGTGAAGTTGTTTTCACACCCGCTCGACGAATTTAAATGGTTCCTAGTTATGGTTATGATACCTGGAACCAGAGTTCAGTGGCAACATTTATTAGAACAAATACTGAAATGGCTTGAAAACTGCTTTGGGTCATTCTGGTGGTATATTTACCCACCTGTGGCCCCGGCATTACGCGTCAGTTAGTAGTTATGGGCTACTGCAATTTTGCTTTTAACTGTAATTGCAGAACAGTCTGAAAAACACGCTGGTCTGACGAGTCATGGTGTTAAACCATTAAGATTTATGCAAAGTAGCCTACTTATCAGACCTATATGCACTGATTTACGATAGCTCCTGATGTTTGAACTTATTTAGAATTCAAAATAGTCTATACGTTGCTTTATTGTTGACAACTCCATGTAAATACATCAACTCTGGTTAGAGACTTCAAAGTGAAAGGTACATTTTGGTCACAAGTGTTACTAGTGAGATTCAATGGGATAGCAGTGCTTTTGTTTAAAGGGGTCATATGTTTATATATGACATAATTTTCATAAAGGGGTCATAATTTTTCCTTTCCATAATTTCCATAATTTTTTCCTTTCGCGAATCAAAATCGAATCGAATCGGGACATCTGAATCGATACCCAGCCCTAAATGCAGACATGGTTTAATGTTATGCTCCGGCCGGACAGCACAGGGCATCACAATATGGTAAGGGGCGTAACATTTCCGTCACATGCTTGAGGTATTCGGCCAATCACAATGCACTGGATAGCTGGCCAGTCAGAGCACACCTCGCTTTTTCAGACCGATGAGCTTTGTAAAAATCGATGCGTTTCAGAAAAAAGCGTGACATAGAGGAGAAACGATAATGTACAGTATGTGGAAAATAATGTTTTTTTTTAACCTTAAACCGCATAAACACATTTCATTACACCAATTCTCATTTTAAGCAGCATCATATGACCCCTTTAAGCTCTCTTTTACAGCCACTCTAGAGCTTGTTTGAGTGGGAATGTGGCGTCCAGTTGTAACAATCAGATGTGTAGCATAGTAATTTGTGAGTATTTTAGGTTTTGGTGATTTGGTGGCTTATTCATGTGAATTCGTAAAATTTCATTCATACGTTTTGTACGATTTATCAAACACCTCACTAACTATTAGGTTAGGTGTGGACCTTCATGCTTACTTTATTCTAAAAATTGTATGTTTCCAAATTCCATACAAATCACATCATACAAATTCATATGAAATTGCCACCTCGTAAAGTAGTTAGGTTTTCTCATGAGACCTGGTTGGGTTGTTGTGACCAGGGCCGCATTAAGACCTCAATGGGCCCCGGGGCTAGGGATTTTCTTTCTAATGTATAATTTACATTACTGACACAAATGGCAACAGCAGCTATATTAGGCTGCTTTGGAGGAATAGTTCACCCAAAAATTAAAGTTATATTGTTGTTGTTCTAAACCTGAATGAGTTTCATTCTGCTGTTGAATGCAAACGTATATATTTGGAACAATACTGGTAACCAAACAGTGTCTGTGCCCCCATGACTTCCATAGTATGGAAAGAAAAAAAACACTATTGGAGTCAACAGGGACCATGAAACTTTCTGGTGGTTATGAATATTCTTCAAAATATCTTATTTTATGTTGAGGAGAACAAAGAAATGCATACAGGTTCAGAACAACTTGAAACTGAGTAAATGATGACAGTATTTTAATTTTTGGGTGAACTATATCCCTTTAAAATCTCATCATATAATGCCAGGATCGCATAATAGCCAACTAGTGCACATGCTTTATCTTTAACTATTAACATTCATTTAAGACACAAATAACTGTTGACGAGGAGGCAGGCATTTTGACATTTATGTGTATTCGAACATTTAAACACAAGGCGCGAAAAATAACTCTTAGTTTAGTCAGGCGCTGTACGAGCAAGTATCAGAAAACGTCTTAACGCGCGCATTTGCCTAAATGAATTCTGTCCCACTGCTTAATGTCCCTGAACAGTTAAATTAGTTTTTAAACCAAAATGCTTAAAATGCGTTTAAATGAAAAGCTTACATCATGACGCGCAAAATGAATTTCTCAACCCATAAACAAATATACTAGCCCTATAGAGTTTGTTCAAACACAAAAAGCAACATCTGTCAAGTTAATAATCAAACTAACCTAAAATCTGTGGGAATGATGACGCTGTGTTTTTATCTGCTCCATGTGTCCGGTCCATTTGCGGTTCCACAACTCCCACGCCATCATCAGCTTTAGTAATATAAACTAGCTGTGGATTTTAGTGACTAACTCATGTTTTCCCCTCTCTCTTCATTTTTTCTCTCACTATTTTTTTTTATTAGAATAGTTGACATTTTTACTTATCGAAGATTGTTCTTTGCATGACCATTTCTAGATTACACCAGAATGAAGTGAAGAGAGGTGAATGCAGACATTAGGTGCAGCGATCACCTGATAGATAGGCTGCATGCGTGCACAGTTTGTTCAAAAGTAATATATATAATAAATGCATTTGATTGGTAAAACAAATTCAAATGTGACGTTTTAATCTCTAATGGTAATGCATGGAATTTACGGAAAACTCCACTAAATAATAGCGCTAAAAAGTGAGGGGCGTGGTTTTTTTGTGATCGGCGCTACCGATGTCCGTCAATCTATTCCACAGACAATCATGGGCCCCCTCCTAGCTCGGGCCCCGGGGCTTCAACCCCGCCTAGCCCAATGGTTAATGCGGCCGTGGTTGTGACCCCTTCTGCGCCAGAGGTGACCTCAGACCACCATAAGACAGGAGAGCAACTTTAAACTGTGTGCAATAAGGACACTGCAGCCTTTCAAAGTGTCTAGATTACTAAACATACAAAAAAAAGCATGTAAATGAACTTTTGCATTAAAAAGGAGAATTAATTTTCTGATGAAGCAGAGAAGGAACATTACCATGATAACCATAGTACCACAGCTATGGGATTTAATTCAGACAATGTCAGAATGAAAAACACTGGGTGTTTCAGTGAAGTTTTTTTTTTTTTCTTTTTGTTTTTTTTTTGTAGTTTCTGAACAGGCAAAAGAAAATGCAGTGTATGGGCAAAAGCAATGAATAGATGCTAATGAATGCACCATGAAGCTGAAAATTCCCCATCCCCCTTTTCTGTCTTCTCTCTCATCCCCCTTTTCTATCCTCTCTCTCTCTCTCTCTCTCTCTCTCTCTCTCTCTCTCTCTCTCTCTCTCTCTCTCTCTCTCTCTCTCTCTCTCTCTCTCTCTCTCTCTCTCTCTCTCTCTCTCTCTCTCTCTCTCTCTCTCTCTCTCTCTCTCTCTCTGGAGACGTGTGAATAAAGACACAATGAAAAGTGCTCTGAATTGTGCTGTGTCACTAAGGGAGGGGGCTGAGTGCCAAGAGGGGTACAGTGTGTGTGGGGGGGCAAACACGCTCCACAGACATCCCTGAGGAGGTCGAGAGCATTCATCTGGGCAGTGAGGGTTTTATTATGAGGTTGTTTGTGGAGAAATCACCCAAGAACTCTTCGCTCGGTCATTATCCCAGGGAGGTTTGGCTTTACTTGAATACAAAGAACTAGGCTATAAAATGCTTTTCTTTGCATTTCACCTCATTCTTGATGTGTGCGTTTGTGTGTGTTTAAGCTCACAATTAATTGTTTTTTATGCATGTCTTAAACAGTTTTTTTTTGTCTCCACACTCGTATGTCTGTAAAGAGCTGGGTAATCTGACTAGCGTGTGGTGGGTAATGATAGAGGGATCGAAGGAGAATTGAAAGAGAGAGGGAGAGACACGGGTTGCATACCGAATGGAAATGTCCTTTCAGTTGGAACTAACATCAGACGGTCTTATTTCATCTATTATATTGTCTTATGACACACCCTCTACTTCTCTCTTTCTCTCTCTCTGTCTCGCTTTCTTTTTTCTCTCTAAGTCCATATACTTTCGATGCTGCAATTTAGCCTCCTGAGCAATCTGTTTTACGTCATATCACATTCTGTTCACCTCCTGTCTTCCATCACTATCTGTCTCCAGCTTGATGTTGAGGTAGCTGTAAATCATTTAGCCTACCCAACATCCATCCATCTGTCCGTCACACATCACTGTATCGTCAGTCTCTTTTGTCGGCTCCTTTAGAGTGCTGTGGGTGTTTGTGTGTACATACACATTTATTAAGGTCATAAAGGTCAGTATAAAAACAGTTTATATTTAGGAGTTTAAAAGTATCACGTAAATATAAATCATATGATTGATTTAAGAATTAGAAATATTTGAGTTTTTCAGTTAAATTGAAAAATGTCTAAAACCATTTTTTAAATAATGTGAACTCTTATGGAGTCAAATAGACAAAAGCTGTATATCAGGGGTGTCCAAACCTCTACCTGGAGGGCCACTGTCCTGCAGAGTTTAGCTCCAACCCTAATTCAACACACCCAAACCAGTTAACCAAGGTCTTCAGACTCACTAGAAACTAATGACGCTTTTCCACTGCATGGTACGGCACGGTACGGCTCGGTATGGTTCACTTTTGGGGGGTTTTCCACTGGGTACAGTACCTGGTACCTTTTTTTAGTACCACCTCGGTTGAGGTTCCAAGTGAACCGTACCATTACCAAAACGTGACGTGTAAACTCTGCTGATCACGGATTGGCC